TGGCAGATATCATAAACATTTAATTAATTTTCAAAAGTTCTTAGATCCATCATTGCAAGTTGGATTTGTTTTTATTTGAAACCATACTGTAGCAAATACTTTAGCACAATACTCAGCTAATAGTTTTAAATCATTTGATGGATTTGATGTAGAAATATATAATTGTAATAGTCTATTTACTTTTGTTAAACATTGGGCATGAGACATCTTATCCTGGGATCTCATACTCAAATCATCAGAGCATTTGCCACTAATAACTGCCATTTTTAATTCCTATAAGTATTTTAGATCTGTACCCAGATCTTAAATATATGACTTCTGGAAGTTAACTTTGTATTTTTTCATAGTTTATTATTGGTAATTTTTACAATTTTTTAATATTTTGCTAATTAGACCAGTATGTTAGGATAGACTAGTGGTAACACTGTCTGTTTTTATAAATAAATGTTTCAAAGGCATATCGTTTAAATGTGTCATGTAATTTAATCACTGTAAGGCGTATTGAAGTTTTTTCTAGTATGATTTAATCACACCATTGAGTTTTCTTGAATTAGTCATAGTATCAACATAAACAATAGCCATCAAATCATTAAGAATAACTTTTGGTTATGAGAGAAGCCTATTAAATAATGTTTCTACACTTTTGGCAGCACCTCAAACTTGTGTAGCGTAACCAATCTGAATCTAGTTTTGCGTAATTAAATTGAATCTGGTTCTTAAACAACAGATATATGTTCCTCAATCACTGTTTGTCTGTAACTTTTTGTTTCTTTATTCACAAGATTTCGTGTCATGTCTTTTTGTCCATTAAAGTATAATACAGGTAAATAAAGCTGCGTTTGGTATTTATATAATTCATTACGTTCTTTTTTCTTTTCCTATCGTATTTTTTGTTTATCGATTACTTCAATATCAGAAGATATATCATGCAATACTGAAGAAACAATTGCAGCAGCTGTTCTGTAAAAAATACCGTAACGATCGCAGGTTTTTGACATCATAGGCAAACTTTTAACTGTATTTTTTATTTGATTTGTGATCTGGTAAGTTTACCATATCAGGCAAAGAATCATTACCTTTAGACTCACTTGAAGACGACACAATCTCCTACTGTTCAATATTACACTTCTATTGAGTCGTTTGAATGTGTAAACTAGATTTGTTCGTCTTAGAGGCTCTTGTTACCTTTTTTTGTAACTTAGTTAAAAGAATACGATCCTTTCCACCAATTCGCATCTTCCTTTCTCGTCTTTAGTCAAGAAAAAACTTATGCTCTTTTTTAGTACCATTTTTTCTTTTAGGCAACAACAAAGGTGAATTTGGTTACATTTACATGAACGAATGTCAAATTGAACTTTGGTATGCTGTGTATAATAAATTTTTTGATCAGCAGATAACCTTTTTTAAGATTTAATGAGGTCTTTGCACAATAAATGATAAGCCTTTATTAACTTAATTACTATTGCTTGTGAAACCGTAGGGTAGGACAATTTTGTCCTTACAAACTCTTCTTTTTGAGACACAAGCTTGGTAACATCTAAATATGATGCTTCTTTTATAGTATTTCTGCTATTTTTTAAGTTGTAATTTAATCCATATATTTTATACATTCCATTGTATTCCATCCTGTAATATTTTATGACATCTTTGTTGGATAACAATACAATATCCATAATATCTTGTTCACAGGGCCGGCGCGAGTAGGTGTCACGTGGGGGGGGGGGGATGCCGTTACATTTTGCCGACTTAAAAAAAAAAAAAGGTGTTCTCGTTTTCCAAAAGTGGCCGACTGCCATGACGACATTTGCAGACTGTCTAGTTTACCGACTAACCTATATCGAAAGGGTCGATATTTGCCGACTAACTAGTCTAAAAGGGTCCAATTTGCCGACTAAAAATCATTGATCGGGGGGGAGGGGGTGTCACACCCACCACACCCCTCTATCGCGCCGGTCTTGCTTGTACACTTAAATATAGTGGACTGATATTTTTGTCTTTTAGTTTTCATAATGATTTATTAGTTTGTATAATAAAAAAGAAACTATAAACGCACACACAACTGTATTCTTGAACTGTTTTTGTCACACTAAAACGCAACCACTTTTAAGTAGCCTCTTTAAAAAGTAAAAAAAAAACTATTTTTAAACAAGGTGGGCTCAATAACTCTTTATTTCTTAACAGTAAAATAACGATAAGCGTTTAGTTATCAAAGTAAAGTTGTTTATTTGTTTACGCTTTAGTGACTTCTAACCACTTTTTTATACGTTTTTCTCAAACTTCGAGATTGATGCGCGGGCCGTTACACTAAACAAAAAAAATATTAATAATGTTTGACAGTAACTGAACCAATAAAACAGCACGTTTTCACTATTACAACTGGATTTAAGAAAAAAAAGAATTTCGATTAATTCTATTTAAAAAAATTAAATAATACATTTTTTATCTTTAATTTTCATAACAGTGATGTTTGATGTTGCATATTTAACAGGATAATTTTATAATGTTCTTTTATTACTTTAGATTAAAGGGATACTTGTGTTCGATCCGTTAAAAATTTTTATTGTGGTAATTGTTATGGTTTTTGTTGTTAAGAAAAACGATGATGAAACAGAAAATAGCGAAGTTGAAAAACAGGGTAGCAAAGGAATATTCTTTTTTATAATGCATCTAAATTATTTTCATTTAAATAAAATAAAAGTAAAATAAATTAACTGTTTTCTATTTTTAATGCGTATTTTATAATAACTATACTTTTTATTTAGAACTATGACTTTATTTATATAATAATGAATATTTTTTATAAACATTATGTTCAAAACATAGCTATTGTCATATAAAGTACTTTTAAATGACGAAACTCAATTGAAAATAAATTTTCAGAAAACAAACATTAAGCTTGATAATACTTATATATATGTAACTAATAAGAATAATTTTGATAACAAAGCATTAATTTAAGCCTGCGACTAACTCAAAAGTATGTTTTAAACTAATTTACTTTACAACTTTATTTAAATTTATTTTTATTACAACTATTATTAAATATATATTGTACTATTATTTTATTTATACATTATTACAAAATATATATTTAACTAATAAATATATATTATCAAATAAGCAGCCAACCAATAAGCATGGCTTCCATAAGGGACTTCACTATTCCATATGTTAAAGTCATTGGAATGTTTATCACTTATTGAAATGGTAACAAAAACTAATTATACATATAATTTTTCTAGTTATGAGGATATCAGTTTTTTATTTATTTAACATAAACTTGATAAATTTTTTTAATACAAGCTGCTAAAAAAACAGTAATCATTTTGACTACAGTGTAACATGCACGACTCCATACTTGCTGTGGTTTGTACTTTTTTTTTAATGAAAATCATTTAATAAAAAGTTCAATTCAAGTTTTCACAATTTGTAAATGTATATCTAAAAAGTTCAATTCAAGTTTTCACATTTTGTAAATGTATATATATATATATATATATATATATAATATCCTGGTGTACACGCAAATTATGAAACTCACTGGTGCAACTGATCGTCAATTCTAGATTTGCTGTTTGATGGCACTTTGCAGGATTGCTATGGTTTTTGAACAAAGGGCAGAATTGACCAATATTTTCTTTCTTTTAAAATACAAAAATAATCTTAAATAATATTTACAGGTACAATAAATATAACATAAATTTCTATAAACAACAAATAAAGCAACTGTATAAAAAAATACTTTGGTTCTACACTATACAATTTCAGATTCCTCGTTTTCTATTTCTCTCTCGTAACTAATTTTTGACTGTCAAAATCAATATAAAAATGACAAAAATTTAGGACTTAAAAAATATATACCTTAGTGTGTCTTTAATATATTATTAACTTCAACATGTAGTTTTTTTTGTGTGCATTTGTATTGTATTTGTATTTGTAAGATAGTTCTCCACATATTTAAATAAACAAATATTATAATATTATTATACAAATATTATAATCAAATATACATTTTTGACTATAATGCAAAATACATTTTTACATAATACATATTTGACTATTTGATACATACTTGATAAAATAAATGCAGTTATAAATATAAATTGTAGGTCAATAGCTGTTTCTGCCATAGCTCGTGTATGAACCATTTTTACTTAAATATGAAATGTAAGAGTCAAAGCAAATTTTGCAACTGGATGCCTTTCTTAGCAACAATCTGCTCTCCAAATCAGGAGAATAATTGTTATGACACTACTAAATTTATAACCACCCACAACCCTCGGAATTAGTAAAAATGTTTTAAAGGTCGGCATCAGGTTGGCAAAAAAAACTTGATACAAAGATATTAACATTAAACATTGAAACGAGGTCGGCAATATTTTGCCAACAATAAACATTTTAAGGTCAGCAGTTAAGTCGGCATTATCGAATGCCGACCCATATTTTAGAGGGTTTCTTTCATGATATATGAGTTCGTTTCTTTTTACCCACAATTAAATAATATATTTTTTAATAAGAGTTTTCTTTCTTCTATTTTCTCTCTTTTCTACAAATATTATAATAGGCGCTGTTCTAAAGAGCTAGTGTCTCTTGTATCAACTACTAAAATTCATTTTTATGTTACGCGTCATTTAATTAAGTATCATTCTTTTAATGTGACTGTTCCTAAGTGCTCAAAAAATATTTTCCAATAGTTTTTCCCTTCAAAAAACAGATCTTTAGAATTTAACTTTTTCCTCTTTTTTTCCTGATTCATAAAAGTTGCGATCTTCTATGTTGCCTATTATTCATTATCTTGCACTTTAACCCTAGTCTTTTCACTTTCAATAACTTCCATTTCGTGGTTGTTGCAGCCTTGTTGGTAGTAAATATGTTTGAAAATAAAATAATAATACTAAAACACAAAATTTTAAAATAATAAATAAACATTTTTTTTTGAAAACTTTACCATAAAATGTTTTGATTTAATCTACACAGAAAACGAAAAACTATCAAATAACCAAAAAATATCAGATAAACAAAAACGTTATTAAATGCCTACCGTCTATTTTTATTTTTCTTGAAAGTTCCTGCACTTTCTTCTATCTCTTTAACTTCATTTTTTATCTCCTTAACTTCATTTTCTAAACTGGATATGTCTTCTGCCATTTTCGCTTTTTGACGAGCATTGTTCAAACTGTCTTAAAATAGTGTTGTGATTTTTATATGGTTGCCAATGGCATTTTAATGATGTGTGATTTTTAATTATTAACTGGATGTTATTAGCATCCATTCTTATTTGCCATTTCAAACATATTTTAACTAAATAAATGTTTTATAAGTTATAAAATAAGAAATGTTTTAAAACTTTTTATCATAGTAATTATGTATTTTTTATTTAACACTAAATTTTATAATAATAGTTTTGAAAGTAAACTTTTTATTTATAAATACTTTAAAATAAGATTTTTTGTAAAAAATTTAAATTATTTCAAATAGAAAAGAAGCAGATTACTTGAAATTGGAAAAGGAGAAGCACATTCACAAAAACACTAAAATAATATATGCAATTGAAAATGTAATAACAGCAAATAGAAAATGATTATTATTAAATACTAAATAAATGTAAAACTGCTTAAATTTATACATAAAACATTTGTTATTTTAAACCAAGATTTTATCAAAAATATAAACTTTAACAAGTGTATTTAAGGGATTACAACAAAACCATTATCACGTAGAAGAAGAAAATATTTCGTTCTTAATTTTCTTAAATATTAAATTCATCATAGAAAATAGACTGCAAAGACAAGTCAAGCGGATCTGTAAAAAATGTCTCCTTACAATCAAACTCTACATAAATAACAAAAGCATGAGAGTCAATTGAATCATTTCCGGCTCGAATATTTTTAAATAAACAAACTATGTTGTCTATTTCAAAGTAGTTTTTTATTTTACCAATTTCATTTCAAATTAGAAACAGAGAGTCAAATCATTGTTTAAACTGTGAGAATTGAGGTAATGGCAATAGAACTGAGCCATAGAAATGTTTTTTTTTTTAAATTTAGAAGTGAAAACAACAACATTTGTATCAGAGTATTGTAAGTGGCCCTCTGACAATCTACATATAATTTGTAAAACAAGTGACTGTGGACTACGGATTAACTTCTTAAGTCTTTCTAAATAACTTTAAAAAGGAAACGAAGAATAATTGTCTAGTGCTCCTAATTTCCAAACATCATCAGGCAAGTGAATCATTGAGAAGAGATTATATATACAATGGTCATTTTCATATAACATGCAAAAATTTGATACAAAATACTTTAACAGTTGTTTTGAATAATCTACATAGATGTAATAACATAAAGATGGGGTAACAAGTATTCTAATAGCTACAGACAGACACAGAAAATTAACATAAAATTCTTTAGGAACAATGCTTACTAAAACAATTATACCAGAATATAATAGAAATTGCCTAAGTTCTGTCGCAATTCAATGTTTATTTTCACAGCGTGATCTATTAAAATCTCGAATAGCCTAAGACTTAACTGCAACAAGTTTATAAGATGTCAAATCTATTGCTGACCTTGATAATCTATACGCAGACAAGCCGTGTATCCATTGATGTATAAGTTTTCGTTTAACTCCTAAACACACTGGATGCATATAATTTAGATAAAATTCACTAATAAGGCCAATATTTTAACAAAAGAGAAGATATGATGGACGTTCTATGATGATCAGGGTCTTTTTTATTTCGAAATTCACTGTCAGTTTAAAAAGTAGCAAATAGATTAGACATAACAACTTTTCCAAGCCATTCATCAGTTTGTACACACCGTTCAGGTTTTATTTATATATATATATATAAAAATATATCCATATGTAATATAAAAAATATTTTATGATTCGGTTTGGATAAAACATTTAATGTTAATGTTCTAGCTGGGATATATGTATATATATATATATATATATATATATATATATATATATATATATATATATATATATATATATATATATATATAAATATATATATATATATATATATATATATATATATATATATATATATATATATATATATATATATATATATATATATATTAGTTATATACATATATAAGATTATATATATATAAATATATATATATATATATATGTATATATATATATATATATATATATATATATATATATATATATATATATATATATATATATATATATTACTTGAATTTTTTTTTCAGGCATGGAATAAAACCTCTTTCAAAACAATTTTGCTAACATGAACGCAAAACGATATATAAATGCTCTTAAACAAAAGATATTGCCCCTTACCTTTTTAATGCTCATTTTTATAATGGTATAAAAAATTGTGGCCAAGATAAATTTATATTAAAGTTTTTGTCTGTTTCGAAAAAACAACGAAATAGAAAAAGAATGCAATTTTATATCAAAAAAATTTGTAACCGGTTTAATTGTAAAATTTGTTATTTTGTGGAAAAAGAAACCTGACAAATAGTGCGTGTTTGCAAAGACACTTTTCTAAAAGGCTTACATGTAAAACTGTGTTCAAAGTATTGCTTTAAGCAAAAGTCATTTTAGCGGAATAAAATCTATAAGACTTTATCCACCATCAGAGATAAAAAATATTAAAATAGTATTGATATTGTATGCAGAAAGGCATTCCAATCTACCAGTGGCATATGAGTTTTTTAGAAAAGTATTTATGCTCAATTTTAATTTAGGGTTTGGTTCTCCTAAATTAGACACATATTCATATTGTGAAAGAATTTGAAACCAAATAAAGTTTGAAAATGACTCAAAAAAGAGGAACTGTTAAATTACTGATTAATTTGTTCAAAAGCATTGAGAAAATGCATTTTATAATCTTTTAAAGGAAAAAAGAGATGGTTTAAAAATATTTGCTTTGACTATCAACAAAACCAAATCATCTCTTAAGTTCCAGATCAGCAAGCATATAATAGACACAGCAAGCATATATATATATATATATATATATATATATATATATATATATATATATATATATATATATATATATATATATATATATATATATATATATATATATATATATATGTATATATATACATATATATATATACATATATATATATATATATATATATATATATATATATATATATATATATATATATATATATATATATATATATATATATATATATATATATATATATATATATATATATATATATATTCATTTGATAATTTGATGTCATTTTTATATATTTTGATAATTTGGTGTCATTTTTATATATTTTGATAATTTGGTGTCATTTTTGTATTTTGATAGTTCGGTGTCTTTTTTCACAGACGCGACAAAGTTTTCAATATAAACACGATAAAAATAAGTTTTAGCTGTATGCTAAATATGAAATCTTTTTTTAAATGCACACAATCAACAAATTATAAACAACAAAAAATTTCACCAAATGGCAACTACAATTGTGTTATTAAAAATACTAGTAAATAATAGTAAATAAATAGTTTATTAAATAACTTTAATGTAGGTAAAAGTTTGGCTTTTGATGAAGATTGGCTTCACAGACCTAAAAATAAAATAAGCATTGATAGTTACTGCATTACAATGCAACCTCTCAATTCTTCTACTGAAAAAAAGATGAGAGATCTTGGATTAAAATACCGTAGGATGAAGACATTAGTTAATGATCTCGTTTTGTTTGTTTTTTATGCATGCTTGGTCTTCTTTATTGGTTATTTTGCTCGCGATTGTCTCACTTTTCATCAAACTCGCAATGTGCAAGAACTTTTCAATTTAAAATTAAGGTTGCCAGTAAATCCTAAAAACCCAACATTTCAAAACAAAGTTTTTAACCAGGTTTGTTTTTCGTTTTTAATAATTTATTTTTGATTTAATTCTTTTAACTTTTATTAATTAGATTTTTTGTTGCCATTTATAACTTTGTTATTATATTTAAATGAAAAAATAGATTCAGTCCACGCAAGACTTTTGGTATTGGTTGGAAGAATTTTTTCTACCTCAAGTATTTCCTGAACCTTGGTATAATTTGAGTAACTTTTATTCAAATACACACTTAAAAGACTTTCCTGGAAAATTATTCTTAAATGACCTTACCTCAAAAATTGTAAATGGAATACGAATTAGACAAATTCGCATTAAACAAAGTAAAGTCAAACTTAATTGCATTGTTAACTTTTAAATTTACTTATTAAATAATATTTTTAAAACTTGACTTAAGTTTAACCAAATCATGCATAAATAAGATTATTATTATGACCAGTATTATATTACTTGTTTTGCTTTATTTTTTTTTAAAGTTAAAATATTTAATGTTATTAGTTGTTCTAATCTTATTCTTATATTTAGTTTTATTACAAATATGCATATTAACAAACTATAAAAAGATTTAAAACCGATGTAGTGAGACTGTTGCTAGCTGTTTTGTTTTTTTAATGTTAAAGTTATAAAGTAAACTTATTAAAGTTACAAACAAATTTGCTACCATCTTTTTAAAAATTCTTTGTTCTTTAAATTCTTACAAAGTTTCTCAATGTTTTAATAGATGTTTTTAATATCTAATTGCTATAAAATTAGCGGGTTTTTCAAGTTCAACACAGAACAGCTTCTCAGTATAAAATTTTAGTTCGTGATATAGATAATTCTAGATTAGATACTTACTAGTTGATATTTATTACGTTAGTTCTAAAACATTTTTTAAAAACAAAAAACAACAAAATTTTGAGTTGTTATTATCAACTATATAGAGACTTATATCTTTACCAACAAAAAAAAATTAACAAAAATAGTATAAAAAAAATATTCAAAATGCACTATATACAAAGTTTTTGTATATAGCGCATTTTTCTAGTATACTGATATACTGACTATATATATATATATATATATATATATATATATATATATATATATATATATATATATATATATATATATATATATATGTATATATATATATATATATATATATATATATATATATATATATATATATATATATTCATAGAATAGCATGTTCGAGAACAGATTTTACATTAAAATGGATACTTACGGAAACATAGCAGAATCGGGGACATTTTAGTGTACTCGATATATTTTTTTCCTCGTAAGTAGCGTTTTTTTTAAAAAAAATGTCCCCGTAAGAGTTTTTATGCAAAGCGAAAAGTACATACATCGGCTGACAAATAGTCTGCTCGCAAGGGAGTGCTGCTACATCGACTGAGGGTTTGGTTTGGCCAAACAGCAAGGTCAGGCATAGGATTAGGGTTAGGCTTAGAATTAGATAATTTAATGTATAATTATATATATATATATATATATATATATATATATATATATATATATATATATATATATATATATATATATATATATATATATATATATATATATATATATATGTAATTATACATATATATATATATATATATATATATATATATATATATATATATATATATATATATATTTTTATACATATATATATATACATATATATATAAATATATATATATATATATATATATATATATATATATATATATATATATATATATATATATATATACATATATATATATATATATATATATATATATATATGTATATATATATATATATATATATATATATATATATATATATATATATATATATATATATATATATATATATATATATATATATATATATATATATAAATTGTATATATATATATATATATATATATATATATATATTTATATATATATATATATATATATATATATATAAATATATATATATATATATATATATATATATATATATATATATATATATATATATACATATATATATATATATATATATATATATATATATATATATATATATATATATATATATATATATATATATATATATATATATATATATATATATATATATACATATATATAAATATATATATATTTATATATATATATATATATATATATATATATATATATATTCATATATATATATATATATATATATATATATATATATATATATATATATATATATATATATATATATATATATATATATATAATTTATATTTATTTAATTTAAATAAAAAAAATACAATTTTTAATGGAAATATTAATTGTTTGCCATTTGGCAAAAGTTCACCTATTTTAGTCAAAATTTACAAAATAAAAAATCGTTTAAAAATACATTTTTTTAGCGTTGCAACGGTATCTGGCGTCAAGTTTACGTCAGACGATATCATGGGCTCCTAATCACTGGTGTCGAACTGTGAAAGCAGAAATTTTTTTCTTTGCCTGCTAGAAAAAACCAACTTTCTTTTTTTATTAAGTAATGATCCTTGACTATAAGTCATATTAAAATATTTTTCATATAAACAAGAATTACATTTTTTAGTTGATGGATTATATGATTGACACTTTTGAATAATGCTCCTCTTGATTAACGGCATTTGTGACAATCTAACGGTATGAATGATACTAGTAAAAATATTAACAATAAATTTAAATTTTTCAGTGTTACCACATTACATTGTCCACAACAAATTAAAGATATGACTGGGTTTGAAAGCGATTTTTTCAAATTAATTAAAACAGTCAGTTTAGATTGTTCTAATGCAGCTTTAAAAATACATTAAAAAAAAAATATTTTTTCTACTCGAAAATCAATGCATATTTCAACTTATGCTGAATTTCAAAACTATCAAAAGAAGAATATAATATTTTGCTAATGAATGCTTCTACTTCTAATTATAAAAAAGCTGACCCCATGATTAAAGATCGTATTAAAAAAGAAGGAAAGGTTATTTTAAAGAATCACAATATATAGCAAAATCAATATAAATGGATCTTCTGATTGCTTTATTACATTGAAATACCATAAATTACATTTTTAAATAGCCCTACGGTTTGCCTTATAAATCCTGCTAATAACGAAATCGGAAGAATTAGTAAACATATTTTATTTGATATTATTACTAATCAAAAAAATATTTTGCAACTAAATCAATAGAAAATTAGTTTAAAAATATTAAAGATAAACACTTTATAAATTCCTTTCTTTTGACATTGTTGACTTTTATCCTTCAATTAACGAAAAACTCCTTATCGACACAATTCACTTTGCAAAGCAATATGTTACCATCGCTACTAACCATAAATCTTTAATTCTTCACGCGCAAAAATCGTAATTATTTACCAACCAAGGTTGGATAAAGAAATCGAGTGGTTTGTTTGATGTAACCATGGGTGCATTTTATCGTGCGGAAGTATTTGAACAAGTTGGAATTTTCCTTCTTTTCTAAATCTCCCAATTTTACAGCAACATAATTTAGGGTTGTATAGAGATCATGGCTTAGGTGTGTTCAAAAATGAAAGCGTTCCTAAAATGGAGAAAACTGAGAAACATTTCACGCAAATATCTAAGCAAAACAGCCTTAGTATTTCTATCCAACCTAATATGAAAATTGTTAACTGACTAGATGTAACATTGAACTTTAACAACAGTAGTTTCTAGCCATACCGTAAACCTGATAGTAAGTTAAATTACATCCACGCTAGTTTTAACAATCCACCTAATATTTTTAAACAGTTACCAACTTCAATTAGGCGTAGGTTATCAAGCAATTCTTTCAGCGAAGTATTTTTTATAATTCTGCCCCTATTTATAAAGATGCATTAGAAAAGTCTGGATTTAGAAACAACATTCAATACCATCCATATGTAGGCCCAAATAATAATAATAAGCGAAAGAGAAACGTCCTATGGTTTAATCCTCCGTTCACCAATAACGTTGTTAAAAAAATAGGACACCTTTATCTTAAGTTAATCGATTTGCATTTTCCTCTCCATCATAAGTTCCACAAGATATTTAACAGAAATACAATCAAAATTAGTTACAGCCGCATGCCGAGTGTTGGATCAAAAATTATTTCACATAACTAAATCGTGTATAAAGCCACTATATATATAGCTAACCCTAGTAAATCTGAAAAATCATATATTAGTATCAGTGAAGGCTCATTCAAGCTTAAATTTGCATACCATTTAAAATCATTTAACGCTACTAGATACGAAAACGATACAGAACTTATTAAAGAAATAAGGAAACATAAAAATGCAGGCATTATGCCGTTAATCATGTGGAACATTATTAAAAAGTGTCAATCATATTATCCATTAACTAAAAGATGTCATCTTTGTTTATTTGAAAAATATTTAATTATGACTTATGATCAAGGATAAATACTATAAAAAAAGTGAGTTGGTTTCTTCTTGCAGGCATAGAGTAAAATTTCTGCTTTCACAATTAGATACAGGAGATTAGGAACCCAAGATATCGTCTGACGTAAACTTGACGTCAGATACCGTTGCAACGCTAAAAAATTGTATTTTTTAACGGTTTTTTATTTTGTAACTTTTGAATAAAATGGGTAAATGATTGCCAAACGGCATAAAACTAATAGTTTTATAAAAAGTTGTATTTTTTTCATTTTTTCATTTAAATATATTTGATAAAAAAGATATAAAATATAGTATATAGTTGTAAAAATAAACATAATAAAACCCATAACATTTTATACAAACTTTCTATATATACGAAATGATTTATTAAAAATTATTTTAACAAATGTCAAATATAACAAATGAGACTGGTAAATAATATTAAATTATAAGTCTCATTTAGACATGGTTTACTTGTTTATTCATATCGGGTTTTTCCCATCCTACGTAAATGCTTATTTCAATTTTTATTTTAATTTTGTTTTTAGCACAATCTAAAATTGGAAAGCATTAAATATTATAATTTTCAAAATATTTTTTTTTTGATTTTTGCAATAGCCAGACGCAACAAAGAGAAACTACTATTTCGTAAAGATATTACTCTTAAAAAAGCCAATTTTAAAGTAAACTTATCTTTAATAGATTGGTTTATTTTGACCAAAGCTTTGAATTTTAATTCAAAAAAAGAGATAAAATAGTTTATAAAAATTCAAGAAAAGAAATTAAAAAATTTAACAAATGGCAAAGTTACACCATTAGTTTGCTTCCG